AACCAGCCACATTATATATAGTTCCTCTTCAAAGGCAGATTGGTTAAGGACTTAAACAAGGTGACAGTGAATTCAATCAAGGTCACGTCCTTGACACTAGGCCTGCCTGAAGGTGGGGCAGGAGGAGTGGGGACAGGAGGAGTGGGGACGGTTTGGGCCACAGTTGAAGTGAATAGGAGGGGTCAATAGAGGAAGATGGAGAGGAAAACAGAGAAGGACAAGAGAGCAACCTGGCTATCAGAAGCTCCCGTCTCTGACACCTTTGAAGAATTCACCTGGCTCGGTCCAGACTAGCAGGTCTGCCTCCCTTTGGGTGAATCAAAGACCAATTAGAAGTCCAGTTACAATGGTGACATCTTATTCTGGTCACAGGTTCTTCCCTCCTTGTGGAAAAAGGAGAGGAGATTAATGGGAAAAGGAATTAGATGAGTTACTAGGGGACTCTGCACACTGTCAAAAGGCAGAACCCCCAGCTAGGAGGCAAGGCACTCCTGAACTGAATTACACACAATCTGAGGAACTAAGGTAGACAAAGAAGTCAGAAGAGTGTGTGTGTGTGTGGGGGGGGAGGGTGCTTCCTTGAAGAGAAAACAAGTATCAGACATTTCAAGACCAGAGAGGGCCAAACAACTTTCTCATTTTTAGTCTAAATAAAACCAGGCTCCCTATATTACTTAAGTGAAATAGGGACAATTGTAGAATGGAGAAAGTACCTACAAGCTATTTGAGGTTCTATTTAGAGCTGAGCATGGTTATGCATGCCTTCAGTTCCAGCACTTGGGAGACAGAGGCAGGCTGATCTGTCTGAGTCTGAGGCCAACCTGGTCTCATACTGAATGCAGTATGTCTTCATAGTGAATGCAGGATTATGTAGAAAGTGTAGAGATCCTGTCAAAACTTAAAAAAGAATCTGTTCATGAAAATGTTCCCTGAGCCTCATATGACTGTCTTAGTCAGTGTTCTGTTGCTGGGAAGACACACTATGACCACACCAATTCTTATAAAAGAAAGCGTTTAATTAGGGCTGGCTTACAGTTTCCGGGGTCTGGTCCATTCTCATGGTGGGGAGCATGGCGACATGGAGGCAGACACGTTCCTGGAGAAGTAGCTGAGAATTCTACATCTAGATCTAGAGGCAGCAGAAAGAGAGAGACCGATGTGGGCTTCTGAAACTCCAAAGCACACCCACAGTGACACACTTCCTTCAGCAAGGCTGCATCTACTCCAAGGCCACACCTTCCAATCCCTCTCAAGTAGTGCTGCTCCCTGATGACCAAGCATTCAAATACATGAGCCTAGCGGGGACATTCTTATTCAAACGACCGCATTCTGCTTCCTGGCCTCCACAGGCTTGAGGCCACATCATAATGCAAAACTGCATTCAGTCCAACTTCAAAAGTCCCCAGCATGCAACAGTCTTAACACTATTTCAAAGTCCAAAGTTCAAAGTCTCTTAGGAGACATAAGGAGAAAAATTGGAACCCACCTGTGAAATCAAAATAAAAAAGCAGACCACATACTTCCAACATACAACGGCACATGATAAACGCTACCATTCCAAAGGCAGAGACAGAGAGCATAATGAGGAAAGACTGGACCAGGGCAGACTGAAAACTAGCTGAGTAAACGCCAAACTCTGTCTCCATGTCTGATGCCCAAGTACTCTTCGGATCTCCAACTCCTTTCTCCTGTGTTCTCTCTCTCTCTCTCTCTCTCTCTCTCTCTCTCTCTCTCTCTCTCTCTCTCTCTCTCTCTCTCTCTCTCTCTCTCTCTCTC